GGGGGGGGGGGGGGGGGGGGAGGCTCTCCGATCTTTTTGGGCAGGCGGAGGGAAATACCCCTGAGGTTCTTTTTAGTTCTGAAATGACGTTGTTTGATACCCCCCAGTACACAACAGCTCTCAGACCACCTGCTGCCGACCGTACTCGCTGGGCTCCGTACGCACTGAGCGCAGCAAGCGCACCCTTTTTGTCCTCGAGGATTTTTTTTTTATAGTCGTTAACGAGCGTTCTCTTTTTGGTAGTTTATTTTCATGTTAAGTTCGGGATTATGGAGCGCGACGCCGGACTCGGTATGCCAAGCCTGATTTGCTCGGTGCATCGTCTACTTGCCATTCGAACATTAACGCTGCCGGTAGCAGCAGTGGCAGCAGCAGTAGCGTAGAAGGGCCTCGCCGTATCTCTCAGACTGCTATTTTTTGGTGGCATTTGTTGATATTTTTGTCATGTTCACACGCTGAGGAGAAACTTTCTTACCTCCTACCTACCCAGTGGGTTACGGACCTCCCGAGGATTATTTGATGTATCTATGAAATGGAGATGGGGGCTTCTTATCCCAATCCCTAACCCCGGACCTTACCCCATACCCTCTAGTATAACCAAGCATACTATCCTCGTAAAGTATACTAGTGAAGGCGCTTACACTTTTATCCCCCCCCACTCCCCCCTGTGAGGTCCATGGTCTAACGACAACGGCATGCACGCCCCCCCCGGTGTTTACCATCGGGGTTGGGTTTTCGTCGCTTGGCAACGACGTTGTAAAACGAGCCCCCCGCTCGGTGTTTGCCATCGGGATTGGGTTTTCGTCGCTTGGCAACGACGTTGTAAAACAAGCCAATTCACTTCGTGAACTCGGCAACCAGGTTACCGTTTTTTTTTTTTTTACCTCGGTTTTTTTTTTTTGGCGGTAACCATAATGGTGGTCGAGTAGATCATGTTGTGCGGGGTGGAGGACCCTCACTCCGCGCAACGGGGGATGATCGCACCACGTTGTGTTAAAATGGTCAAGCACCCTCGAGGCAGTTACACAGTGCTTACAACTGTCTCTGGAAGTGAAAGCACCAGAAAATAAATTAAGTCATACGTAGCTGTCATCCGTACGCAAGGAAGTAAGCACAAGATGCCGAACACCCTTAGCAGGATGCAGCTCACCCTTCATGCGACTCGCCAAATACCTCACGGCGCTTCGCGCTTGGTGATGTGAGAGCCTGGTCCGGTGAGAACCCGGCGTGCTCCGTCCCGGCTTTGTAGGGATGCGAGGTCAATGGTCAAACGACTACGGCATGCACGACTATGAGTACACCCCCCCCCCCTGTGCCCTTCGAAGGACCACGCAACCAACAAGACATGGGCGCCTGTCTGTCTGTCTGTCTGTCTGTCTGTCTATATTTTGGTGTTGATATTACATCTGCCTGACGGTCTTCAAGCCGCGGGTGAATATTGCGCCGTTTAGCAAGCAGGCGCAATCGACTTCGTCGAACGCCGAATTCCTTCCCGCCCGACCGCCACGTCCGTGACAGGCCCTCGAGCGAGTGCTGGACCTGCAGTCGGTGGTCGCCCACTGCGGCACCCTCTACGAGACAGCGATGGTCAGGGCGGGGCCGGGGCTCCTGCCGGAGAAGGACCGGAAGCGGATCAAGGACCGAGTCGTGAAGCTCGCGCACAAGGCGATCAAGTGAGACAGACATGGCGTAAGGACGTGAATGTTACCCCCAATGGGGGGGACGGGGAACCCCGGGGAATGTCGGTGTGGTGGCATACAGATGCCGCAGGGGAAGTCAGTGTGATTTCTGCTTGAAGAGTCGTTAGGAGGTTTGCCCTGTTTTCGTTGTTTTTTTCAATAACAAAGTGTCAATCAAGTTCTATGTACGTGCAGATTGATTTCGCAGCACTCGTTGGGAACAGTACAGAGGGCGTACCAGGAGGTGGTGTCAAAGATACGCCTGTTTTCCCCTCATCCGGCGCTTCGCTTTGACGTGCGGCTTAAACTGCTTGCTGTCGCGGGCGATTCCCCCCCTCCCTCGCGCAGGACTCTACGCCGCTTCCTCCCGGAGGTATTCCCTCGAGAACAGCAAGGATACCGGGCGAGAGGGGCACGCGGCCAACGGGGTCATCGCTCTTCTTCTTCCGCCGGGGAGGGGGTGCTGCCCCCCGCGCGCTACGGCTCGGCGTTCCGGCGGCTGTACGGGCACGCCGCGTACTCGCTCGCCGCCTTCCTCATGCGCATGTGCGGCGGCCGCGTGCTCAAGGGGGCCCCGCTCTGCGAGCTGGTGGAGGCCATGTTCGAGAGCATCGCCTGCCGCGGTCCCGCCGACGCCGTAGGCGGCGGCGGCGGCGGTGGTGACGGTGGGGATGGTGCGGGAGAAGGAGGAGGAGGAGGAGGAGGAGGAGGAGGAGGAGGAAGGGTGAGCGTGCCTCACGCCGAGCTTAGGGCGCTCGCGGTGACGCATCTTCCCGATCTGCTGCAGTGCTTGTCGGAAGTAAGTGTGTGTGTGCCGTCCGCTCCTCGCCCTCTTCCTTTGAAGGGGATGTGAGCTCTGGGAAGGAGTCTCGTGAGATTTGTAACGTTCTTTTCGTGTTGTGTCCGCAGTTGAGCTCAGGGGGTCTCGATCACACCCACCGCTTCTCGACGGCACTTATTTCCCACCATTTGCTTCATACTTGCGACCCCTACGCGCCCCCCTAACAACCTCATCGGTGCGTGTGGGAGTACATCCGAAGTATTTTCTCAAAGGCTTCAGTATTAGTGAGGGTATTGTGGGAAAATATGCAGTAGACAACCCTTCAACTGTATGTGAGTGTGCAGCGGGCATCGGTGAAATGACCACACCGCGGTAACAGCCAGAAGGTGTAACCGTAGTCACGGACAACAACAAGCTGTGCGTGTGTGTTGCCGCAGCTGCCCACTACAGATGGAGGGAACTATGGACGGGCTACGTACATATGTATGCCACCAATCATTCATGATGTTTCGTAAGGTATGACGTACGATGTGAGGAC